ACTACTGCGCATCCTCAGGAACGAAATACCTTATATTCTTATACCATGGTCGTAGTCGTGAAATAATAATCATTGATGACATTGATCGCTTCATCGCTCTTGTCGTTTTGGTTGCGTCGTTGAATTAAAGGTGCAATTTCAATGCGTCATCAGTGATAGTATATATTCACCATGTCTGCTACGGCTATACATAAATTTATAACTTTTGTAGGATTTATGTTTATATTACATGCAGCTTATTCTGCGGCACAACGTGAGTACCTGCATATTATTCTTTTATCTTATCAGTTTATTAGGTTAGAACTGATATTAATATTATGATGAAATTATATCGTTTATTTTTGTTTGGCATTTTGCACTTGAAGTAAAATAAGATACATGTCAAATCAAATTTCTGAAATGAACAGTGTAAACAAAATAAATAATCGAAACTTGGTTTATCATAGATCGTTCCTATTTGCGAATCACCGAACAAGAGTTTACTACTTTACCAATTGACGTAAGTTATGATTCATGATACTTGCTTCTCATATAGAAAGCTAAAGATTTTATTTCTGTATAAAATATTCTATAAATTCAAACAAGCTGATAGGATCTTAGAACATTACATATTAAGGGGATATGTTTTGCTATTGCTGTAGATTTTAATCCAAGGCATAGTCAGTTTATTTATCGTTATGTACGGCGTTATGTACATTGCTGGCGATTTCAAAGAAATCCGGGCAGTTGTCGATTTGGAGAATAAATCTTGGGAGACGCTGCGGAATCTACCATCCTTTCAAGTATTTAATCATCGTGGAAGATCTCTGTCACCAGAATACATCTCGGAGTAAAAATAGTATATTTTGATATCAAATAATTGAAAAAAGATAATAGATACGCTAAATTATTTCTATTTGTTAGAATTGCATTTAGAATAGCAAAGATCTATTGAAATTTAGTACTATCAATTAATGTAATTTATATTTGTATTATATTAAAATAAATAATTTATCACTTAAAAAAAATCAAGTTACATATAAAGTGAAAGCATTAACAAGATAATTTAATATATACATAAATATGAAATGTAATTATTTATTGCTGAAAAGCAACTTGTAGTAGATTGTGATCTTTGTCTTCATAATATCAATCTACAGCCTTAAAATTCAAAACATGCGGCGAACGGTTTTGTATACACATTTTACACAATTGTGTGACAGTAAATAGTATGAATAAAAAAAGTCTCAGTTTTTCTTATCGCATTTTTCATTTGTATGTTTTCTTCCTCTATTTTTTTCCAATATATTTATTTCATAAGAAAAATTAATTAATAATAGTATAGTAAAAGTGCATGATAGAACACAAGACATCACTTTTTCTGTTTCTTCTTTTCCGCCTCTGCTTCCTTTTCTCTTTCAATTTCTGTTACATATTCACCTATGGTGTCTGTGTCCAACATCTAAAATTTTATATATATATTATTACTGTAAATTTGTTTTGCATGGATTTTTCCGATTAAATCAATTTCATAGAATTAAATGTACAGTTAGATACAAGTTGCAATTATACCTCTAATGGCTGTCCACGTCGCATTACCGCTATTTCCAGATTTTTTTGTCCAGATTGAACTACTTCAAGGAGCGCTCTGATAGCTAATTTTATACAACCCTTTTCTGTCGATACTTCTTCCGGGGTATAATACTTCTCTAAGAATTCATGTACAGTTTTAGCACTGCGACCTGTTGCGTTTGCCTTTGTGGAAGGACCAATTAATATAAATTTTTAAATATTAAAAATAATTACATTCAACCATTCAGCAAAAAATTCAAAAAATCGGTCTTATTCATAAATACCTTCCATTCGTAATATATCCCTGATGGCTCTGTTTGATAAAGGTGTGGGACACCATCATAATCAAATCCAGCTAAGAGACAGGATATTCCGAAAGGTCTACGGCCGTTACTTTGTGTGTATTTCTGTTTTAAGCCTGTAAATAAGAATTTTAATTTTCTGTTAGAATGGTGTGTAGCTCCATATAAAAGCAATTGACCTGTAGTCAACGGGTCCCAAGTTCAATCCTGAATATGTCTTGGTTTTATATAAGATTGATCGGAAAATTGAATGAGAAAAAAAATATATGTATATATATATATTAAGGTAGTACGAAAAAAGTGAAGTCGCATTTTAAGCTAAATTAAAAAATGTTCACTCTCTTGGCAGAACATAAGATGTAATCCGATCGCATAGAAATTTTGCACATTTCTTCTTAGTATAATGCTAACTGTTGTGCACCATTACAGAAAAATTTGTAAATTTTAGTCGTACCTGCAATATACCTTGTAATATATTCCAAGGTAACAGGATCTTCTACAGTTAATTTATGACTCTGACATTCAACTTGCGCACGATTGATCAATACTCTTGCGTCAGCAGTCAAACCTATATTAAGTAAATTAAAAGCAATTATTTCATTTGCAACATACGAAAACAATATTTATCTTTAAGCCTCTATTATACCTGCAAAGGCCATAATTACATGATCGTCCAACAGACATATTTTGCGCACTGTACGTTCCTCTTGTAATTTAGCAACAGACTTCTTCTCGACACCCAAGACTACTACATCTGCACCGCGTACACCAACCTGCACATATAAAAAAATTGAAGTACACATAAGCAAAGAATAAATAAATAAATTTAAATTAATGACAGGCGATTGAAAGCAAAAATGCGACTCAATTATTAGAGCATTATATGTAGTTAACAAATGTATTTCATAAAGACCTTACAAATAATAAGATAAAATTAAACTATTATGAAGGTCTTACTTTCCGATTGTTTTTGACCTAGTCTAGATCGGAAACTGAGTAGACTACGTTGGGAACAGTCGGAAAGTTAAGACCTTCAATATAATAGTTTAATTTCCAATTTTGTCTTATTATTTGTAAGGACTTTATGAAATACATTTGTTAACTATAACGCTTTAATAATTGCGTCAAATTTTTACTTTCAATCGCCTGTCATTAATTCATATTTGTTATATCAAGAACTCAATTTATTTTACTTTATTTATTAAAGAATAAATAGCATTTTATTTAAAATTTCAGCTGGAATTTTTAAATTCTTTATGATCAGAAAAATATGACATGGATATAAATAATCTTTTATTCCTAAGAATAGAATGCCAGAATATGACATGCCAAGAACGATAATGGTGAGAAATAATAAAAAACACATAACAAAGATATATGTATATACACACACACACACATATATATATAAAACCTAACCTAATAAAGGATTCGCAGAGTCATGTACAAAGTAGATGAATAAACTTGATCAATCATAATTAAAATTCTTTATGTATGACAACAGATAGACTAGAAATCGATGGAATAGACGAAAGGAAACAATGAAGTACTTGAAAGACTTTAATTCAGGAGGAAGGAAGGTTAGGAAAATCAAACATACCGCCGTCGAGCCTTTCTTGACTGCCTCCTGAGCGTATTCCACCTGAAGTAGATGCCCGTCTGGTGAAAAAACCGTGATAGCTCTATCGTATCTTGCCGACATCGTTTCGGCCGTCTAAAATATTCACCGTCCTGCAGAAAACTCAAAATGACTCCACCGTTTTCCGAGCAGTCGATCAGCAGCCGCTCGTTCAGCTCGTTCCGGAGTCAGCAATCCGGACGCGACATGACAACGCATTTCCCTAGAAATGCACCGTGTGTGTCACTGTGTCCCGGATTGGACGGACGGATCCTCATGAAACGACATCGCGAAGATTCCTCGTTTCCTATAGGCTCTATCAATGGACAGTATTTTGTGAATCGATTGTGTATGGTCGCGTTCAGCAGACTCAACTGTTGTGGAGCGGATCCGTGAGCGCTCGCTGCTATTGGATGATTTAGAAGAATACACCAATAACAGCGAGTACTCGCGGATCTGCTCCACAACAGTGAAAGGGTCCTCTACATAGAAGTCGTAGACGGTCATGGAGTCTTAAGTCGTAGGAAACTGACCAATTCCAATCGAGTATTCTCTTTATATTTGATTGTGATTGGTTGGTTTCCTACGACTTAAGATTCCACGACCATCTACGACTTCTATGCAGAGGACCCTTGAGTCTGCTGAACGCGACCTATGTATCTTGAAACGAAGCGAAAATGACAAAAATGATCAAATTCATTAGATGTTGACCAATAAAATTATTATAAATATTTTAGTAATTTTGCTTATTTTTGTAATTTTCATCTCATTTTAAGACATATAAGGGCGATCCGATTTTTATTTGCACCAAGGATATAGATTACGTTGATCGTCTTAATAATATTATTTCATCTAGATGTAACTGAGATGTAACGAAGACCAAAATAAAATTATCACAAAGATTGTAGCGAGTTATTTTTCTCTTTTTCGATTTTAATAATACACGACTCTGCTTTTTTATAAATTTAAAAATTTTGTAATAAAATAAAAAGTGTAACCCGATTTTATGTACGTGAATCATGATAGTAAAACAATTACATTAAATATTCATATAATAATAATATGTGTTGACTACATATATTATTGACTATATTATATGTAGTGGAGAAAATTATACATACTAGATCCTAATCAAAATATGCATATATAAGTATATATTATATTGTACGTAAAAAATGCACATACTTAGTTATATCTGACAGTCTGTACGTGACGTGGCAAGCATGTCACTGTAATGAGGTAATTGTTGCATATTAGGTCTTATAATAATTAATATTCAAAATATGATTGACACGCTATATTCTACGCGTTGTCTCTGCGATGTAATGTGTATTAATAAAAAGATTATTTTATATTAAAAATATATATAATTTGGTTTCAAAGTATCAACCACTCGGAAAATTCAATATGCAGCTAATTGAAGTCAAATTATTTTTTCTTACATTGCGGCGACATGCAAAAGACTTATCATATTTTTCGTGACTTTAAAACGAAAATAGAACAAATCTTTTTAACGCACATTGCTATTAGGGTATTTTTAAAATCTGATTTTAACTTATGATCTAATTAGCGATCGTATAAAAATATTTGAAAAGTATATTTAAGATGATTATAAATATAAAATTAGATTTAAAATTATATTTAAGAGTTATTTAAAATTATATTTAAAACTATACTTAGGATCATATTTAAGATTATATTTATGAGATTTAAAATTCAAACTGAATCTTATTTGTAATGAGATATTAAATATCGGACTATGAATATTTATCCAGCTGCGAGGATGATCTTTTGAGAATTGATAAAATTCTGTTATGTATGTAATATGTTCTGTGTACACCCTATCAGTAAAGAAATATTTTTTAAATATTAAAAAAAATAGTTTTATTAATGTTAAAAAAACATTTAAAAAACGTTAAAGTTAATGGAAATTCTTCTTTTATTAAAAAATATTTATTTTAACTTTATATAAATTTTTTAACGTTTAACAAAATGTTTTTAATATCAAATAAACATTTTTTAAATATTTAGGAACGTAAATTGTTAACAATAAAAAATATTTTTTTACGGTGCGCGAACTGTCAAAATATTTTATTTTCATTTGGAGCCCAATTTTGGGGTTGCCTTCAAAGTATCATTTCAGTATCATTTTATTATAAAGTAGGTGAAAAATCTCATATTGTTGTGCCTTTTATTCTATCTTATGTCATTAGCCTACGAAAAATAGTGTCCATCTATCCATGATGCAGCGCACTGTGCTCGTTAATTAATTAATATAAAATAAATATTAAATTTACGTAAAATAAATATTTTTTAAAGTTATTATTTCAAAGAAATAACTAATGTGAAATAAATATTTAAACAATGTTAAATAAATATCCGTTCTCTAAATTTTTATTTCAAATAAATAATAAATGGTAAATAAATGTTTGAAAAACATTTTAAAAATATTGTCTGCAAATTGGGTATGAATGTGTTACGTACGCATAATAGACATGTGTATAACAAACATATGCATTTAGCGTTAGATGTACCGTGGAAATATCGATCTCTCAATGGTGGCTCAATTTTTGGGTACACGCGCTATTATTTTAAGTTATATTACACTTTTTAAATTCGTATTTCGGTATTTTTTAATTTGATATTTATCGTTGCGTTAGATTTAAATATAATTTTATTAAAGATATCATTTATTATTGTATGACGTATGTTATTTCTAGAATAATATTATAACTTATTGTATGATATTTGCAATTATACAAATTACGATT